AACAAGAGCACAATGAATGCAACATACCGCATCAGTTGAAATAACAAAACCATTTGGGGAACCAATAGCCTTGTGCAGCATCTTCATGAACCATTCTCAATTCTCCTTGGTCTCACTGCCAAATACTCCATAGGCCACTGGGAACATCCAGTTGTGGCCATCTATCCCTCACAAATGATGCTAATCTGTCCCTTCCACTTTGTTTGTCAAAATTGTGGAATCAATTCCTAAATAAGGTCTCAGAACCTTGCAGAAGCCATCTATGCATGGCTTCATTGCTACAAACATCCTCTCAATCTTCTCTTCTCATCTACAATCTCCCACTCAATCTCTACAACACCTTTGCCAGGACTCCTCTTCTCAATCTCCCTTTTCCAAGAAAACACATGTACAAAGCTATCTTCCCACCACCCATGATCTCATCTAAGGCCATTTGCTTGCCGTCCCCAAACCACGTAGTAGCTCAAATTATACACAAAAAATTCTCCTTCAACTTCGCTTCAAATCTTTAGCTCCAATAGTTGGATCTTCCCTAAGCCGCTTTATAACTCTCTGTCCTTCACCCAAATGATTGTTAGCCATACAGATTGTTCTGAATTTGCTTGTCTTGCACAATTATGCTTGTGTGGTAGCTTCTTAATCTGCAGCCATCAACCAACGGTTAGCACACAACAATTGATAACTAAATTAAACTAAATGAAGCATTACAAAGCTCACATACACGCCATGTCTTGCCATCAGGTAACTGAGATGCATGAATCCTCCACTGACATCTCTTGGCCTTACAATATGCTCGGTACCGCCGTGATGCACTATATGGAACTACAAGTTCAACTTCATTAAGCACAGCATATTGTCTAATACATCTCTTAAAGCAGAAACCATCTTCAAAAAGTAACACCAAGACCTATCTTAGGGTTATCTATGTCAGTGACATGAACAACACCGTCACAGTCCCTCCCATCGTCCACAACTAATGGGTCATCATCTTCTGGGTCACTGTCAGGATAGTAAGCAGGGTTAGCATCACCATCATCATTGACCCCATCCTTGTACTTCTCATTCTCATCATCTACTCCTACATACTCCACTTCATCAGCCTCTCCCCAGTCATCTTCAGCAGTATCTTCTTCTTCTTCTTCAGCAATAGCATCATCATCTTCACCATCATTATCAAGATTAAGACCCTCATCACCATTAGCATCAGCCTCACAATTACCATCATCATTAAGATCAACAGCTTCACCATTGTCATCAGCTACTAGATTAGGCAGTATCATAGCTATTGGCTGACAATTAACCTGACTCTCCTGAGTGATAATAACAGACTGAGAAGACTGAGAGGCATTGGCATTACAACACTTAGACTTGAGCAAACGAGGACCAGTGTCAACAACATGTATAGTCAGTGGCACCTTCCTACTGTCCCAATACACATCAAATGCATGTAACAGAATAGAATCAGAATCTATGCGCACTGTCTCATCCTTGGTTTTGTCAAAGAAGGTGACCTGCAGTTCTTGGTCGACCCCATGGACTATCTCCTCACCAAGGCACCCAAGAAACCCCATCCAAGAGAATTTATCCTTGTCTACCACACGCATGTAATTAGCAGTTACATGATAATCATCGAGCCCATCTGGTCTTTGCTCTACATATGCAGGTACGCTAATCGCCAGCCTACACGTGGAAGTCGGATCCATCCTAAATCAACACAAAGGATAACAACCAAACTAAACGATTTCAAAACCGCAAGCATTCTACCACATCCGTAGGCATTCATCTGCAAAAGACTCACCCTTTCACTAGCCATTTGAATTGCGGAACCCTAGGTAGAGACCTAGGGCACTGCCCGTTCTTCGAGCTGGGGGACTTCATCTTCGGGGCGCGGGGGAACTCTAGATCCTCAACCCCCATGGCGGATGATGGCCGACGCTCGATCTGTCAGCGGCGGCGGGCACTGGGTGGACGGCGGCGCGACGAGCAGTGGAGACGAGTGGGTGGCGGCGCGATTGGGAGTGAGCGGCGGCAGCGGGATTGGGGAATGGCGCGCCTGGAACCCTAACGACGGAGTCGGGTGCGGGCCGGTCGTTCAACTGGGTCGAACCAGACCAGGTTGGGACGGCGCCAAGTCTGGTTCAGGGGCACCCGATGTCCAAAACAAAGTTTTCTCTCTCCAAAACCGGGTGCAACTGGGTTGCGGTGCCCACTGGCACTATTTCCAAAAACCAGAGTGTCTCACGGCAAAAGATGGAAAACGCAGTGTCCGCCAGCAAACACGCGTCATTTGGCATGTCCAATAGCAAAATTTGCCATAAACAATAGTTTTATGCATTTTAGTTAATAATTCATATATATTGAAGGATTTGGGCAAGAAGACATTGTGTAAGTCACCTGAGGATGAAGCAATCACTTTTCTGAAGGCGTGCACAACGTGCAAGTCTTTCACCCATTTGTGGTACATCTTCTATAATCATGAGACTAATAGGAATTATGGTTTCCAGCTCTTCTTAAAAAACAACTCCTTGTGCAATATACTTCTTTTTTGCATTCTTTGTAATTCTCCCTCCTCTATGTTACATAGGCTCGAATGACCGGGGCATCACCAAGAGCGTTAAACATATGTGTAAAACAAAACAAAACGTCTAGGAGATTGTGTGCAGCAGTATATGTGGAGAACCTAGCCACTACTTTTTGACTCTAGTAACCACCCACCCCTCTAAAGAAACTTGATCAAACACCTGGAGATGCACTAAATTCCCGGAGTTTGCCTCCTCAAGCCCATAGTTTTTATTCCAACATATTATTGCTGGTATGAAGAATCTCCAAACATTTAGAGAAATTCAACCAGAAAGATTTTCTTAAGGAGGTCACAATGATGTTGAATGGACGAGAGAGTTTCTTCTCTTATCACTTTACTCAAGAAATAAAGTAGTTGTTTATAAAAGTGAAAATTCTAAAGAAATAACTTCTTCGCATGATGTGTGCTACTATTTCCATTATTAGTTTAGATGTCGGTTCCTTTAAGGAATGGTTATGCCTATTAGTGTTGTAAGTGTATGTCAGGTGGGTTCAATAATGTTTCTTACACTTTGGGTTTTCCATTATCATTGCTTGTGTTAGTTACACGTACTTTAAGCATCTTTGTTTATCACATGTTGAGGGAGAAGTTAAGGGTACTATATGATCAAAACAAAAGATTATATGACACTGAAGATTGTATGCCTATATGATTGAGGCAATTAAAATTTATATCAAGAAGGTGTAAACAAAAGATTAACATTGTCATTCATATTGTTGACACCCCATATCAAACAGGGTCAACAACCTAAGGGATGAGGAGCTATGTCCTTGAACACTTGAGCTGATTCAAGGGTATGTAATTCCATCTTTTGTTTGTTGAGTTGGGTTGTCTTCTACCCTTGTTTATTTATAATTTATAAAAAATCTTATTTCTTTAAAAATGGGCTATATAACTTGAGACACTTTCCTAAAATGTCTTGGACACTTCCATGTAAGTATGCATGCACATGTTTTGTGTGTACGGTGTATTCATACTTTGACGGAATCATGAGTTTGGTTGTTAACTTTGGTAGTTTGAATGAATTTTAAGTTTATGCAATTATGGCATGCCATGCCATGCCAGAATGCCATCATATCCAATGACATGACTTGTGCCAAGTGAAGAACACGGAGTTTACCTTAGGGCGTCCGCGTTGGCACCGTTTACATATAGCCAACTGACATGGAGCCGAGAGAAAAAAAAAGACCACTTTATACGTTCTTATTTATTTAGGTGTTACTGGACCCCAATGCTCTTCTCTCGTATTATTGGAACGGGTGAAATAGATAAGCTATTTATCCGTCGCTAGTAACTACTCTTTGTCCTCCTTTTTATCTATCCACATTAGATGACAGTCTCCCGTCAGCTAGCGAAATAGCTGGGGCCGTTGAGGACGCCCTTAGCTGCTGCAAGATTCAGTGAAGCTTGCTCTCATCAATTTGGTGCAGCAAATTGAGATTCAACTATTGGACACGACTGCCAGTTTTGGTGCATTGTTCAATGGCACAGAAGAGATAAGGTAGCTCAATGAATGGCTCAAGAAGGAATTTCAATATATATGTGCCTGAAGTAACAGACGATGGTGTGCCTCTCTTTTCATCGGGACGCCTAGGAGCACCCCGTCGTCGTAGTAGGTGATGCAGATGCCGTGACACATGACACAAAAACATCTCTTTCAGACCGCCGGCAATGCCTGCATGATCTGGAAGGTGGTTGTGGCATTGCTCAAAACCAAATTAGCAATCTAGACATGTTGTACTCTACTCCAGGCCACAGCACTGCAGTCTACTCACAAAGTGACACGTACTCCGATATCCTGTCTCAATGCATGGGATCGGCGGCGGATTCAGTCCAGACTCCAGACAGGCAAGAACACACTGACCTCTCATGATTAGGGCTGGTCGCCGTATCAGGCCAGCACAAAGCCTGATCGACCTTGCCCATCTCAAACGTTTCCAGCATAAAACAACTCGCAAATCGCAGGTACGTACGGCCACCGGATCATACGGACAATCCCGTACCTGATCCGGTCTCGTGCCTCCATTGGCCGTGCGCAACGCCGCGGCAGCTTCCTCCGCCGTCGCCGGCCGTGGATACGCCACGTACCCTGCTCACGCCCAGCCGAACCGACCAACCACTCCAGCTGCGGTTCGCAACCGCCCGACGCTTCCTCGTTCGTAATCGTACGTACAGTCCGTGCGTCGCCGCTGCCGCGGTCGCGGGTGGCACGCCAGCCAGGCCGTGCCCGCAGGGCCCCGGCCGCCGCCGACATGACAGCGCACGGGAAACCTGCCATGTCTGGACGCGTGCGTTCATGGCCGTGGTATATATCCGCTCGGCGTGGCGAGTCCACTGGATCAAGCGCCTGCCTGCCTCTGAGAATCGAGCAGCTCGAGCGTACGTACTATACTCGGAGTGAGGAGATCAGTAGCTGGCCATGGAGCAGCAGCTGCGCGCGCTGAGGCAGCATGTCCTCGTCGCGTCTTCCTCCTCCTCCTCGGCAGCGGCGATGGCCGCCGGCGCCCTGGAGGGCGTGGCGCGCGTGTACGAGGAGCACGCGGAGTCGCTGGCGCGGTCGGCCGCGCGCGCCGACCGGGTGGAGGACGAGCTGGAGGCCTCCGTGGCGCTGCTGGACGCGTGCGCCGCGGCGCGGGACGTGCTGGGCGCCATGCGCGCGCGCGCGGTCGCCGCTGAGGCGGCCGCGCGGCGCCTGGACGGGGCGGCGGCTGACGGCGCCGCGCGCGCGTACGCGCGCCTGGCGAAGAGGGCGTGCGCGGACGCCAGGAGGCAGCGCCGCCGCGCCGGCTCGAGCTCGATCGCGATGCCGCCGTCGGCCGAGGCCGAGCTGGACGGGGGCCACGCGCTGCAGGAGGCGCGGCGGCTCACCGTCGCCGTCCTTGAGCGCGTCGTGGTGGCGCTGTCCCGGCGTGTGCCCGCGGTCGGCGGCGGCGGGCCGCGTCGGTCGGCGTCGGCGAGCAGCTGGTCCACGTGCGTCGCCAGGGCGTTCCGGAAGAGCGCCCGGGTGGCGTGCGAGGACGACGCCGGTGACATGCTGACCACTTCCTCCTTGTCGTCCAAGGACTCGCACGACGGCGAGGCGGCGCTGCGGGCGCAGCGAGACCTCAGACCACTGGTCGACACGATCCGACAGCTGGAGGACGGGCTTGAGCTGCTGTTCAGGCGCCTGGTGCAGTGCAGGGTGTGTTTGCTGAACACGCGCAGCTTTTAGTTACAAAAGCTGCCGAAACTGCTGCACCTGCACACTATGATCAGAGCTTGAGATACAAGTAGCCGTGCTTGTAGATCTGATAGGACTAGGACAGATGATCTATGTAAAAAAATTTGACACTTGGGTGCTCCATGCATGAAGGATAAGATTAGCACTATTGGAAAGTTGAGTCATTCATGCAGTATCAGAATGGTAATGCTTATATTGCATATCTCTCAATGTCTGATGCATCATGGAACATCCCACAAACCAAATGATTACTAAAAGATTTATCAGAAGTCAGATCTGTACAAGCCAATGGATATAGTTTCGCTTCTCTTTTGGTAACTTGTCATGTCATTTTCGTGTATCATCTCTTCGATATATCATACGTATAAGTTTTTTTTGTAGAGTCGCACTTAATATGTGGCGTAAAAGACTTCCATACTTCAACACAAAAAAATCCTGACAGAGAAGGAAACAACACACAAGTCATGGCTCCCTCAGCGTGCAATGTAAAATTGTGCATCAATATGTTTACCTTGCATGGTGAAGGCTGTGTGTCAATATGTATTAGAAAAAGGGGTCATGTTGTGTCCATCGATATGACATTTGAATTATAAAAGGGCAAAAAATATTGTGACAGGCTTAGACATTTTCTGTGCAGAGATTGTTTCTAGCTCAGTTGGCTACTTCATCATCAAACAAAGTACACAGCAACACATTTGGCGTAACTTACATGTATCAAATTTGAGATTTTCAGACAACCTGCCATCATCTACGACCCAAGGAACCAATCATCACGGAGTCAAGTTCATGCACGTACTTTCACGGGGACTGATTTTGATGCTGGCATGCTGCTGCCTGTTGAGCGACGGGCAAGGAAACCGTCCATCCACGCCGCATGCTGAACGGACTGAACTCAGGCGGCGCTTGAACCAGACATTGCCGAACATGGCACCGTACCAGGTGAGTACAAATGGAGGATCCTGCCTCGGATTGCACAAGCATGCCGCGACACCGATGAACCTTCCATGAACTTGAGCTTCCAGGGCATCCACTGGACGGACCCAACCCAACAGCCCATCAAGCCCCTCACGCGTGCACTCTACAGTACTTTGCTGGCGACGCATCCAGCATGACAACCCAGCCCATGTTAGTTCGCCACACAATTTGAGTGAAGGGAATCAGCTCTGTCTGTGCCCTGCAAATCTGCAATCAGGGTGCTCCGCTCCGGAGGTTCCTGCCCTCCTTCCGGTGCCAGCAGCACCGTACCATCCTCTCAACCTCTGCCTGACTATAAGAAGGGAAAGGGAAAGGGAGAGCAACACCATGATCCATCATTCGTCATCTTCTCCCTTTGCCTGCCTCATCTCCCTTCTCATCAACACCAAAAGACAGCACCAAATTCCCTCCCAAACATGGCCGGACATCAGCGATCGACAAGCTGGCCATCCATGGCTCATCCCAACAAGACCGAGATGCAAGAAGCTCTGCAAAGCATAGTCTCTCTCATTTCTACGCTGGCGGCGGCTACTAGTACCATCGAAGTGGTGTGCGACGGTCTGAGGAGGCTTGGAGACGTGTACAGACACATCGACGAGGCCATATGCCTGCATAGCAACCACAACCAGCTGGTGCACGGGAAGAAGAGGCTGGAGGAAGAAATGGAGAGGTCGCTGCAGGTGCTGGACCTCTGCAACACCCTGCAAGAAAGCTTCGGTGACCTGAAGATGACCGTCCAGGAGCTGCAGATGGTTCTCAACAGAGGGGACCTCCCGGTAGCTCAGATCAAGGCTCAGTCCTACGCCCGGCTGGTGAAGAAGGCCAAGCACCAGCTGAAGAAAGCTGCCAGCAGCAAGTCATCTACCTCGTCGTCGTCGTCGTCCCATGAGGATGCGTGGTTGATCAGTTTGTTGACTACGGCGAGAGGAGTCACTGTCTCGGCGCTGAGATCTGCAGTGGAGCTCCTGGCGAAGCAAATGGCGACCTGTGGTGCGAGCAAGTGGTCGCTGATCACCAAATCGATGCAGAAGAGGAGAGTTTCGTGCGAGGAGGTGCAGTTGCAGGCACTGGAGTTGGGGATTGTCGGCCTAGAGAGCTCAGTTGAGAACCTTTTCAGATGTCTGATCCAGACCAGGGTCTCTCTTCTCAACACTCTCAGCTTGTAGATTATTCTCCACTGGTGCACTGTGATTGGCATCCGAGTTTTATAGGATCTGTCAGTCAGCATGAAATTTTGTACATCATATGTATACAGCTCAAAATATATAGCAGCAGATAGAATTATTATAAACACATGGTTCTGTTCTCTGGAAAAAGAAATTGCATAGTTCCTGTGTTAACCATCCATGCATTTTTGCTGCCAAACAGTTTATTAATGGACTTCATTTGTAATTTAACTAGCCTAGCAGCTATGGATACAAGTTTGATCTTTTCTGGGTCATTGGCCCATTGGGTGGAAGGCTCTACTGTGGCGGAGGGTGGAAGGCTCGCTTGGGAGATCAAGTCACTTGCTGTAAACCAATGGACTATAAATGTGATAAAGCTTTCTCCAAACTTCTGGATCCTACTGCTCCATCCTCTGTATCAGTCCCTGAGGGCTTCCTCCAAGAGCTTGCTGATTTGTATTTGGTAACTTCTGAAAGTGTTTGAAGCAATTGCGGCATTGTTGAATATACTCGAATGGATACTCTGTGTTTTTCTTCCATTTGCCCCCTAAAGCATTTATATCCACTAATTCTTGAACAACAGAATCATCATCATTGCAGGGCCAACGAATCACTCCACTATTATTGATTCTCGAGAGAACGGCATGCCAAGGCATATGATGACCTGAGACAATATTGAACACATAGCTCTCCTTGTCAATGAAAGTCCAACTGTCTGGGTATCTCTCTAAGAAAGTATGAAGAGGAACACTAAGGTCTTGGTCAACATGCCGAGCTTTTGCAGGATCATAGATGTAACTAATGAAGTTTTTTGAGTTGTCAGTTAAATCAATGCGGAGTATCCGACAACATTCAGTGATAAACTCTTGCATCTTCTCTGCCATAGCTCCAGGCTGAAAATGCCTCTTCTGAACTGTAGCAAATATATGATTTATTAGTGCATTTTACAATTAGTAGTTAAGAATAACGGTAAAATGTTTAGTTTACTATCGTACCATCTGTGAGTAACACTTGGATCTTTGGAACACCACTTACAACTTTGATATAGCAGTCCCATATGCCAAATGTTTTGGGGAAAAGGCTTTTCTGAGATAATTTGTTGAATAGGCTACACAGGTCACTATAAATATAGAATAACGTTAGAAATGAAATCACTAAGAGAGTTTCAGTTGTGCAAGAGAGGAAAATGTGAAAAAATATTCTCGCTCCTTGTTTAAGGATTTAAAATAATTTGTGTAACTCTAGGATTTCAATTTTAAGATAAGAAAAAACAGAGCTGTGTTCCCCTCATTTAGCATTTGCATGTTGTGACATTTCACAAAACATTTTGCAATAGCATCACCTAGTACGCTGCGATCGTGGCATTTTACAGAACATTTTACAAGAGTTTCTCCTAACACACTGCAATCACCAAACCATTCACACCACTGAAGTAAGGGACTATGCATGAAAAAATAACAATAACTATACATAGAACTACATCATGAAACGACAACTCTTTACTAATATGATTACTATCTCCTTCCTGGAAAACGTATCATCCTAGGATTTAAAATTTATATACCAAAAACGTATCATTCTAGCCTATAGTACTAGACATCAAATGGAACATCCATATTAATTCAATGAATACTAACCATTCAATGAATACTACTAATTAGACCCAGATAAAAACTAATCTGCATATGCTTCCTTATTTATGTGAGCGCATACAGCCTATTTCAGGGAAACACCTATTTATAATAAAATAGGGGTACATTGTTTCCACTTTATTGTCCTATAAAAATCCTATAAAGTTAAGTTTTTTTAGGATGGAGGAGGGCATTATATTTTAAAAGAAGAGTATAGTTAATAAGTTAGCAAATATATAATATGCATGACAAAAAAAAGGAACGGTAAGAATACTCACATAAGCATGGCTCTAAATTGTGGTGTTATATCTTTCTTTTGACCAGCTCCCTGAAACATGGACGAACCATTCTGGCTATTCATCCAGCCCTTGAGAGAACCACTAACGCATGGAACAATAAACCAACCATGACCTCTTGTGGAATAATTCTCTATCGGATGCAGGTTTGGGTGTCTAAATCCACGGAGAAGACCATAAGTTTCTGAGGATATTCTACAGAGTGCGTTGCCCTTTTTGACCATCATCCTAATAGGAGAGAGGCCGGCCATTCCATACATATGAGTTTCCAGGCCCAATTTACTGCCATCAAAATCCATTGGTCTATCACTTATGTTGATCTCAGTGAGCACTGCATCTTTACTTGATTCATTTTTGGAATGCTCTTCATACACTTGATGATACTGTTCTTTGTCCTTGTCCATGTCTGCCAACTTGTATGATCTGATCTGTACAAAAAGGAAACAAAAATGGGCAGTCCTTAGATTGTATACATACTCGGGAAATACAAAAAAAGAGCATGGCGTATGGTGCCTTAAAGTAAACCTATTTATTGATTTTTTGATGAATCAATTGTCATCTTGGTAGAAATATGCTACCAAATAGAACGGTCATTGATCTTGTTCAAATATTTTACAGGAAGAGAAATAGAGCATAAAACAATACCACTACAACAGTGAGTATCCAAATCTTATGAAGACTATGAATTGAATTCTTCGATATATCAGACATGGGAAATCATACAGATAGCCTTAATCACAAGAAGGAAAATGAAAATGAGTTGAATTTTGTACAAATGAAGCAAAAAAAAATCACAGTAATAAATTAAAAGCATGTAGTGCTTGTGGTACCAAATATACAACGGCTGTAACTAGCATTCAGGGTGGCAGCACAGAGAAGATAATAAAGGAATTGACAGCAAATATTGGCCAATCACATTGCACGATAGAACAGTAGGAGCATGGGTAAGTCCAATTAAACTAATGGTCCTTTCGTTTCCGGATAAGCTATACTATACTAACAAACAAATCTTTTCGTTTGGATGGGTTGGTTCGTTGCTTGTTCGTGAAGAAGTACTGCTGGCTGATTTGTGTGAGAGAAAAATACTGTTCCGGCTGAAAATTTACGATCGTTTACGAGAAGCCCCAGCCATCCGAACGGGCTGCTTGAAATGGACCACTGATTTTCTCCTGAAAGAAAAAGAGCAGAAGTGCATCTGATTCGTGGGCTAGGGTTTTGAATGGACTGGATCAGTGGAGCAGCCCACATGCGGTGGTCGGAGGGTCGCAGCCCAACCAGCCATATTTTACCACAGCGGCACTGCCTACTACTGTAGTGCTACTGCTCAGGGTGATCATCGCTCGCCGCCGTAGCATAGCACGCGGAAGGCTGGGGGCCGCCACCGCCAGCAAAGGTCGGCCCCAACCAAGCAACATCCAAGCGAACAAGTGGTGGGGTGTGAGTGGTGAATGGGCACTTACCCGGCTGTAGAGGGGCAGATGGAAGGCAATCAAGCTACTCCCAACCGAGTGCCGGCATTAGGGCAGGAGCACGCGGACGCGGTCGGAGATGGCGATGGCTCGATGCGGATGGAGAACAGAGACGGGATTTGAGACGAGAGACCAAGACCAAGGTCCTCTGGTTTGCTTTTTTTTCTACTGTTTTCCGCTTTCCTTTTTTGGGTAAAGGAGACAATGATCGACCGGCTTGGCGTATCCATTTTCGGTATGCAAATAATAGAGGGGAGAGACAAAGCACGGAGTCTGGTGCTCCGCCTCCTCTACTACGGTCTAGGGAGTAGTATAGTACTACCCCATATACTACTCATGTTTTTGCAGTAATACTGTAATGCAGTAATTAAGCATCCTTCTTTCCCCTCCTTTTTTTCTAGAAAAACAAAAAGAAAAAGTATGCTTACAACAGTATTTATTTGCACCGAAGCAAGGTTAGTCTAGTTCATTACTCTAATTAATACTCTGGCGCCGCGTAGTACGCCAGTTTGTTTATCCAGCTTTTATTTAGCCACCGTAGTCTGCAAACTAATCAGATTAGGAGCCAGCTTATATATAATATATACTCCCTCCGGGCAGCTTTATAAGGCATTCTCAGCGTTTTTTTAGGAAGACCAGTATGTAGGGCGCCACAACTGTTTCGAGGCGTTTGCGTAGTCTATGGTTTTGTTGCATGGGACGCTTCGTTTTTGCTAACCTTTCTTCTGCTATTGCGCACCACATGCATGCATGCACCAGAAAATTAGTGCCTGTTTGATTCGTCTAGTAGCTACTAAATTTAGTAGTTTTTAATCATTTTAGTAACTTTTTAATCAAACATTATGACTAAAAATTACTAAAAGAGTTTTAGTCTTCTCTAATAACCCTAAAATTATTAAAAATGACTAAATAATTTAGTAACTACTAAAATTTAGTAGCTCGAACCAAACACCGTGGTCAATCGTGAAGCACATTCTAGCACGCGAGAGCAGCAGTTAATTGAGTCTGGTGCTACAGTTAATCTTGTGCACATACTTCCACCACTCGTCTTGGTATCTGCAATTTTCTCAGTCACGCCTAAAAAAGCTGCCCAGAGGGAGTACGTATATAGTAATTCGGACCACAGCTTACCATAGTCCTATTATTCCTATATAAAATTTTGCTGGCCCAGCTTATTTCACATTTCTCTTCCACAACTCAAATAGTCTTATCAAATGAGTCGTAGGACAATTTATATAGTAGTATATATATTGCAGCACATTAATAAGCTGGAAAGAACAACAGAAAGTCATCTTCCTTTCTCTAATGCACGTGTCGTCACGCAGAGGTCCCACCGCACTTTTTTTCAGGAGTCGACTAGTCGACAACCGACCGTTTGCCTCGGATCCAGTACTGATATCAGAAGTCGTATAGACATGATTCTGAATACTAAGTCATTAATTAGAGGTAAATTTTTTCTGTCTACCTCTATTAAATGCAATTGCGGTATGTTTTATATGAGAAACAAACCAACGGCGGACTGGCTAGGCCAGCGTGGTGGGCGCGGGGATCATCGCGGTGCAGGTTCGATCCCCTACCGCGTCGTATTTTTTGCTTGTTTTTGTTTTGCATGTGTTTGCATGGCATTGTGCGGGACGTGCACGCTGGTGCCTGGGCGTGTCTTTTTCCGTTTTTCCGTCGATGGCGCGCTTCGTTTTTTGCGTTTCGTTGAACGCGCGCTGGACGCCTAGCTGCGCGCTCGCTGGACGTTTTGCCACGCCAAGTTTTCCTTGTTTTCGCTGGACGCTCGGCTGCGACGACGATTGGGTTCCCGTTCGTATTTATACGCCCAGCCGGCTGCAAATTAACAAGCACAAACAAAACACCCGCACAAATGGCCAGCTCACTTGCTACCTTCGATCTAAACGTGCCTGTACCGGAAGCTGAAGAAGGCAACGCTGGGTTAGACCTCAACGAGCCTGTACTGGAGGATGATAATGACATCGGTAAGTTTGCTTCCTTGCTTTTCGATTGAGCCTGTACTGGAGGATGATAATGTTTTTTTTTGAAATAGAGCATGTTGCCGAGGCTAATGTTCAAGTGCACCACCGAAGGAAAGAGATGTCAGAAGATTTGAGAAAGCAAGTTTATCAAGCATTGTTGGCTAGAAGCAATAATGGGATACTCCACAAGAAAGATACCCAGATTATTGCTGATTGATTTGATCTGCACCTTCGGACAGTTCAGCGCATATGGAGGAGAGGTAAAACATAACTTGCAAACTCCGTCCGGGTTGTGGTCTCTAGTTTAAAAAAGGGTAGAGTTGGTCGTAAGGCAATTCCTATTGATTTGGAAACCTTGCGTGACATTCCACTGAAGGAGAGGATGACCATACAAGATGTTTGTGCCAAACTAAACATTAGCAAATGGAAGGTGCAAAGGTATTTGAGAAGAGGTTTGCTAAGGCGCCATTCTAGTAGCATCAAGCCCTATCCCACTAAAGGTAATAAAAAGACTAGGTTAAAGTGGTGTATTGACATGATTGAGAGGGGGTTGAGTGGTGATCCAAGATTTAAGGATTTTTTTGACTTTATCTTCATTGATGAAAAATGGTTCTACCTCACCCAAAAATCTAAAAAGTATTACTTGCTCCCCGAAGAAGACGATCCACATAGGACTTGTAAGAACAAAAACTACATCCCTAGGCTCATGTTTTTGTGTGTTTGTGCTCGGCCGAGGTTTAGAGATGGGGAGTGCATTTTTTATGGTAGAATTGGATGTTTTCCTCTTGTCACTTATGAACCGGCTCAAAGAAGTAATGCAATAACCGGCCATGTCCGTGGAGATATGGTTATGAAGCCCATTACAAGTATCACAAGAGATGTCATTAGAGAATTCATGATTAACCAAGTCTTGCCGGCTATTAGAGCCAAATGGCCAAGAGAAGATGTGGGCAATCCTATTTTCATTCAACAAGACAATGCACCTTCACATTTAAAATTGGATGATCCATTGTTTTGTGAGCATGCAAAGAGAGATGGTTTTGAAATTTGGCTCATTTCTCAACCACCAAATTCTCCTGATTTCAACATTTTGGACTTGGGTTTTTTTCGAGCAATTCAAGCAATTCAATACAAAAAGAATGCAAAAACTATTCAAGACTTAGTTCCAGCCGTGCAACAGGTAGTGTTCACACATGATTGATCAAATTGTTCACACATTTTTCATCATTCCAACAACTAATTTCATCACTGATTTTTGTAGGCAATCATGGAGTATTATCCACGTAAAGCAAACCACATCTTTGTAACACTACAAACTGTTTTAATAGAAGCAATGAAGAAGAAAGGCAACAACTTCAAGATCTCTCACATGAAAAAGGAGATATTAGAAAGACAAGGGCGCCTGTCAACTTCTATCCGGTGCCCACCATCCTTGCTAGATGAAGCTGAGACTACACTTGCTGCATTGTAGAGAGAAAAAGCTACTAATTAGATATTGGAAGCTTTAGAACGTTGCTGTGTTCTTCATTAGTAGAGACATTGTTGCTGTTATTTTCCTTGCAATAATTAACTAATTAGAAGTAAAGCTTGTTATCTTACCGTTGCTGTGCCGTCATCCTTCCTGGCAGCGAGCTCACGTTCGCACTTCTCGTCGAGCATCTTGAGCACTTGTGGATCAAACTTGATACTGTTGCCATGCATCACGACTTTGTCCAGATCGGGGATGAAAACCTTGCAGTCGAACTCGTCGAGGCAGTAAAGCATGGCGAGGAGCATGTATTCCAAGTGCACGAGACCGCAGCGAGAGCATGGCCAGAAACGCGAGTGTGCACGATCCCACGCTTGGAGGTCCTCATGGACGAGATGACAGCGAGCGCAAACAAAAGCGCCCCGCGGCAACGCGTGCTCCGACTCCGGCGCCATGGAGTCCGGCACGAACTCGAGGGACTCCGG